TGTGCTTAACAACACAAACGAACCAAGCAAGTCATTCTAGAACTTTGTTGTTTGAATATTTGAAAAAAATTTATTTCCATAGAACGTAATTTTTACCAAATAAATCGTGCTATTAACCTGTAAATTCCAAATATGTACTTAATAATTTGTTTATTTTCAGCGTTTTGAGATTATTTGATATATATGTATATATTTACATTTCCGTTTATAAACTCATTGGAAACGAACGTACATTTACTTTATGTTCATGATGTCGCTACATTTTGGTACTATGTATTGTAATATAAAACATATCACCTCGAATAACGCAACCAAAATCCGCACTACGATCAGCTTAAAACTAAGATTTCAATCTAAGGTAGCCTTTGAGCCCAGTTAGAAGGACGATAAAAACTTAACGTCTTGGATCGAGCTCGGTCAGGAAAACAACATCCAACACAAATATGTTTGTATATAACTTACCGTTAGTAATTCGTATGTATATATATATATATATATATATATATACTCCAGACTGAGACAAGATGTTCATATTGACACGATAACCTTCCAATCAAGAATTAGTCTTTTCATAGAACGATCAGCATGAATAATCCGGGTGTCTGCGCGCATGCGTACGTGAATAGCCATATTTTTTCTTTATTGGATCGAGCATCAAAGCACGTTTTGCGACGACTAGCACTCAACATTATCAGAGTAACCTACATCAGACAAGATCTCAGTAATTCTAACCACGTGAGTAGACACGAAAGGATGCGTTTTTAAGTGTGTATGTGTGGAGACGCTTCTCGTTTTTGTCCACCCGCCGTGTATATTGATGTAATTGTATTATTTTTCGAGACTATGAAGTTGGTTTTGTTCTCTATACCCTGGGTGGATTTTTCATTAATGTATACATATACTGCAACAGCAACACGGCTAGTTTGTTTGCTACTGACTGTATACATCACAGCCAGTGCCTCTTATAGGCATAACTCGTTCTTATCAAGCAGTCAACAGACAGAGAAAGGCCGTTAATTCAGCCCCAGGACCCCCGGGGAACGTTAGGCTTTCAGAAGAGCTGCTCCTCCAAAGCAGACGACGACTCCGACACGAGCTCTGTCTTTTGTGTTGATATTCGATTGTGACTTATCGTACATCCGGAGCGCGTAGAAAGCATTCATGTATACCACTAGGGGCCTCATTGAACTGGTAAGCGCCGAGGTACATGAGTTGGCAGTGCTCGCGTGGATTGGAGGACGTGATACATGCACGACCAGTGGTGAAAATAGCATACTTGCGTAACGGTGAAGAAGCCCAGCGAATTTCAATGGTTTCACGCGCCGACACTCGCCGGGGCGCCACGAGCTCCCGCACCTTGTGGGTTGCTGCTGGTGATCTTATGTCGTCTCCATTTCAAAGCTCCCCCATGAGAAATGGTCATCTAAGCCAGAAACTGGAAGAGTCTGTCCCATTGAAAATATGGGTATACGTTCAGTGCCTACGTTTGTTAGAGGTCTAGCGTTGCACGTTTTTACTGAGGCACCATTTCAGTGATTTGATGCCTAGCAACTTGTCTGTATCATCAGCACTTTTTCTCTGACAGGACGCTAAAAGTGGAGAGCGTCCAGTAATTGAGTAAGGCTACGTACTCAGTTGATTCTTTCCAAATGACGAGCATTGATTTGATACAAACGGTAAGCAGTTTGAATTTCTTTATACGTTTCTGCCTGTGGTAAGGAAGCCTTGAACTGCTTCTTACAATAAAAGTCAGAATACAGTTTAAAATAAGTAGCATAATCTGCTATTAGATTCATAAAAGCCAGTTTTTATTACTGTGTCACAGACTATGATATAACCATGAAGTCAGATCTATTTTGAACATTGTTAAGCAATCATGATTAAATATGATCATATAGTGACACAAGCAATAACTTCACACGTCTATTCTGCAGCTGGCTAAGGTCGATTTTCATTAATTGGATCTATATTAATAATTTAGTAAGATCACACGATAATGTTAATTATTTATTCAGGAAAAATATGTTGTTTTTTATTTTTGTTTTTATCATCTTTACTAATGTCGACTTTATTTTCATTCTAGCTGAAAGCGTGTCAAATGAGAACTTGTTATTAAAATCAGCCTTGGCAGGAACCTGTTTTTAAAGTCAGCCTTGACAGGAACTTGTTATCAAAGGTAGCAGTGGCAGGAACCTGTTATGAAAGTTAGCAGTGGCAGGAACCTGTTATCAAAAATAGCAGTGGCAGGACGTGTTATCAAAGTTAGCAGTGGTAGGAACTTGTTATCAAAGTTAACAGTGGCAGGACTTGTTATCAAAGATAACAAGTTCTGCCACTGTTAACTTTGATAACAAGTCCTACCACTGCTAACTTTGATAACACGTCCTGCCACTGCTATTTTTGATAACAGGTTTCTGCCACCTTTAACAAATTTAGCAGTGGTAGGAACTTGTTATTGAAGTTAACAGTTGCAAGAACCTGCTATCAAAAATAGCATTGGCAGGACTTGTTATCAAAGTTAGTCCTGGCAGGACTTGTTATCGAAGCTAGTAATGGCAGGATTTGTTATCAAAGGTAGCAACGTTAGGAACGTGTTATCAAAGTTAGCAGTGATATGAACTTGTTATTAAAATTAGCAATGGCAGGACTTGTTATTGAAGTTAGCAGTGGAAGGACTTATTATCAAAGTTAGCAATGGCAGGACTTGTTATCAAAGTTAGCAGTGGTAGGACTTATTATCAAAGTTAGTACTGGTAGGACTTGTTATTGATGTTAGCAGTGGAAGGACTTATTATCAAAGTTAGCAATGGCAGGACTTATTATCAAAGTTAGTACTGGTAGGACTTGTTATTGATGTTAGCAATGGCAGGACTTATTATCAAAGTTAGTACTGGTAGGACTTGTTATCGAAGTTAGTAAATTGTGTGTGTGTGTATGTTTATATGGTGATGCAAAAGTCACTTCCATTGTGACTTAACAGCTGTTAAAATGTGTTTTTTTTTACATATTGACACGATGTCAAAACAGGGACACTTCCAAACGTTCTTACAAGGGTAATATATCCCAACCAACTACTGTAACAGAAGAAAAGAAAAAGACAGTTCAAGAAATATAGACATGACTATAAAAAAAAATCACAATAAGGGCGGAACTTAGAAAAATCATGGTGGTGCACAATGTTTGAATCATCCTGTATGTCAAGATACTTTTAATAATGTGATACATTCTATTACATACAAATGTGCTGATATTATAAATATTTTCACGTAATTTGTTTTTTTTTAAAGAGGATTTTTTTTAATTTTAAGATTTATCTCTTTCCTCCACCGTAGGTGAGGCGCTGTTGCCGGCCATGCACTTCTGGACCCAACCTTCATTTCATGTTAACTACTGTGTAGCGAATCATTTAAATCCATCCTGCCGATATTTGATTCTATACAAAACTAAACAAGATCACAGCCGAGTATTGGTGGGGTCAGTTGTGAGAGTGGTCTCCCACTGGTCAAGTAGGAAGATAAAAAATAAACCATTCCGACACTTAGGTTCTTCAGACTCTCTGGACAGCCTATCATACTTTCACCCTGCACACGACGAACCCTTCACCCGCCACCCTGACCCACCTACCGCACCGCCCCCGACAGGCATCGGGCGAGATGTCCTACTTCTTCCGCTTTCACGACCTGATCGGGGGCCTTCATGTGCCTATCGACGATGGCGTAGACAAACTCAACCGGAAGTACACGCTGCTCATTTTCCTGTTCCTTGCGTTACCGATTTTCACCAAGCAATATCTTGGAGAGCCCATCGAGTGTTTCACCCCAACCTACTTCACAGACGCCCAGGCACGATACATCAATAGCTATTGCTGGACAGCGTCCACTTACTACTTAGTGGCCATAGATAATGAAGACGATACCATTGAACCACCACAACAGCCCCCGGAAATCAGAGTTAGCCCTGAAGAAATTGACTACGGCGAATTTGACATGTTCACCGTGCAGAGAGACAAGTTACGTCGAGTTCATGTAAGTTACTATCAGTGGTCCCCTTTGATTTTAATGCTCCAAGGTGTTTGTTTTCATTTGCCCTTTATTATGTGGGGGGCTTGTGCACATAACGCGGGAGTAAAGCTCCGTCGTTTGTTGAAGAGAGCCTCCGATATTGCCGCCCTACCCCCGGGATGTCAACAGCGAGAAGCACTGCTGTCAGAATTTGTCGACCAATTTCACACTATCGTCACTGGAAATGCTGGTTGGTGTACTGACCCTTCCTGTCGCTTACCCATAATAGGCTGTCGCTGTGTAGCGGGACCAAGTCGGTACCTGTCCTTGCTGTACGTGTTGGTGAAGTTCTTCTACGTAATTAATGTAGGCGTACAGTTTTTGCTTCTCAGCGCCTTCATGGGAAAAGGCTATCTTCGACATGGGATAGAAATTTTACGACGCCTGACAGTGAATGGAGACTGGTGGAACTCCCCACGATTTCCCCTTCAAACTTTATGTCAAGTCCGTGCCGCTATGCAAGGAGCTTTTCGAACATACATATGTAGGTGTGTTTTGCCCATCAATGTTTTTAATGAAAAAATATATTCTGTAATTTGGTTTTACTTAGCCATCCTCCTTCCACTCAATGGGTTTAGTCTAATCATGTGGATTTGGCGAAACATTCCTTGCAACCGACTTGCCTTCATCAGACTCTGCTTGTGGAGGACAAGACTAATCAACATGAGTGAAGTTTCCAGATCAGCTCGGAAGATCTCCTCTAATTATCTCGGCTGGGACGGCGTTTTCATACTTCGACTGATCGAAAACAACCATGGCAGCGCCATGGCCACAGCCATCATTGGAAAACTCTGGGAATTCTACTCGAGTCAAATGAAGGCACAGGAGGAGGGAAATAGTGACGTGGAAATGGCACCGTTACCTACAACCATGCCTTCTGTAGCACCATCTACTTCTTGGCATTCTTGTCATGCTGGAGCTTGCCATCTTAGCCATTTTAGCCATCAAACACTACCGTCTACAAAACGCCAGACCCCGAACAGTTACTGGGGTAAATGTTCTTAACAGAGAGAGCTATGCAGTTTAGATAGGCTGGTTTTGATTGAGTTTAGATTTAAATAGTTTTAGGAGAAGTATTTAAAGAGGTATTAGAGTAAGCAAAATATATCTGTTAAGTGTGGAAACTCTTATATATCCTGGTCAGAAATATGTCAAACATAGATCGTGTAACTCATAAAGAACCACTAAGACATTCATCTAAGACATTAATTGACAAAAAAATGTTAGTTCTTCTCTATATTTTACTTTGAGAACAAGAAGAAGTAGTTTTTCGTATTCCAAACTAACCTTGTTATGTTAATTACTCAACCAAAACGTAAAAATAACAATAATACGCATGCATAAAATTGTTAATTATTTAATAGCTTCAAACATCTTACTCCTGAATAACTGTAGTACCAACTAATCTTCCTAATTTACTGGTATTAAACGCACCTCTTAAAATAAAAGACTTCTAATTCGCTGAAGAATAATTGTAACAAGAAATGCTACATTATTAGAGTCTCGTATAAGTTAAGTAGGAAAAGGAACTATCTGAAGTATTTTAAATGTGCTAAAAGTTATTTTTATTAAATATAAATTGCATATATTTTAGAATCCACCTTAATTTAATAACTATAAGCTAGTTTTATGTATTCAGAGCTAGTATGCTTAGATAAAATGTTGTTGATATACAGAAACAACCATTTCCACAATGTCTGCCTTCTACTTGAATTTGGCTTGTTTGGTTGAAATAAATATAGTGACACCGAATACGCTAAAATTAAAATAATCTCCCGACTAAATTCTAAGTCTATTTAATTTTTGCTTTCGGAATTAATATGTATATGTCTGAAAAGTGATACTTATATCAACAAAACGATACAACACTCCCTCAGAGTACAATCTGGTATTTTATGATTCCGCAAAAGTTTTAACCATAACTATTACTCTTACGCCATATTGAATTATACGTATGTCATTGCTGTCTCTAATTTAATGAGAAAACAGTCTTATTGATCAATTTAGTGAAACAAATTTCCCTTTAACTGATATCCCATTTCGCCAAAACGTCTTTTTTTTAATACATGTTTCTGGTGGCATATACAGTTTTTCTACATCGCCTTTGTTTTAGGCTCAACAAAAATAAAAAGCTTTGTTAGGATTAGGTTTATTGTAAGTTTTTCCGTCTGTAAAGGTATAAACAGAAACAGACACCGTTTATTCCAAAAACTGTACATTTGATTAAAGATAATTACATCAAGGTTTCCGGAACTACCGCTTGGCAGGCACTGTGTATCCAAATACAAGAATAACGGAACCTTTCTCAGGGCCACATTACTGTAGTTCTACATTCATCTATTAATTTTTCAGAGCTTTTCTTCATCAATGCCTTAGATCTGTTGAAGAATTCAGCAATGACTCCGATACATTATCTTCAACTTTAGACAGAATAAGGAACTGTCCTCATAGATTCTTTTTCAAATGCATCAAGTCAAACTTTGGACCACTTGAAATATGATATTATGGACAAAAGTAGTACATGAGTTTCAATATTGAAATTCAATGAAAGGAGTAGTACATTTGTTTCAATATTGAAATTCAATAAAATGAATAGTACATTTGTTTCAATATTGAAATTCAATAAAATGAGTAGTACATGAGTTTCAATATTGAAATTCAATTAAATGAGTAGTACATTTGTTTCAATATTAAAATTCAATAAAATTAGTAATACACGAGTTTCAATATTGAAATTCAATTAAATAAGTAGTACATCACTTTCAATATTGAAATTCAATAAAATGAGTAGTACAACAGTTTCAATATTGAAATTCAATAAAATGAGTAGTACATTTGTTTCAGTATTGAAATTCAATAAAATGAAATTCGTCATTGGTTACGACAGTATTGAGTTTATAATAATTTGATATTTAACATATAACTATTTCGATGTTTTCCTTCCACAACAATATTAACAAATCATGCAATTTTTGTTCAAAAGTATTATGCTTATTACTTAAAATAGGATATTTACGTTTTATTCGACATTTGAGGATCCAGTCAACATTTATAAAAATATTTGCCTCATCTTATAGCCTGGACACTTCTGCAAACCAATACTGTCCTCATCTTCTAGTCCCTTTTATATATGTTTTATTAAAACCTGCTTTTACTACTGCAGCCTCATAATATAGTTTACAACAATTCTTAGTAACGTTTTTCAGTTGATTTGGATAAAAATCGTAAAATAATGGTTGACAGCTACATAAAAGCGCCCTCTAGAAATGTTATACTAACTGAATAATGACATAGAATTTCAAAATATAATAGTACGAAAAATATTATTAGAAAATTTGCTTCACTCCTTGTTGTCTTGGATTCGCATCAAAATGTAAATTTTACAAAACCTTTTTTATGACTGCATGGATACTTCCTAAAGCTTTCAACCTAACTAGACAAAAAAATAGTAGGTAAATCTAAAGGTTAAGCTAAGCTAGTGACAAAATAGCTTTAATTTGTCAGTACTTGGCTAACAAGCTAATTTTGTTTCCCACGCCATCTTAATTTGACAGTATCTGATTGTCAGCCTAGTTTTGAAACTTGACGGTATTCTGACTATCAGATTAATATTGTTTCCCATATTACTTAAGTCCCTCATTATCTAATCACCAAGCGGATTTCAATTTTCAGATTAGATTTAATTGCTTTATGATGTGGCTTTTAAATTTAGTTTACTTTCCAAGTTAATATTAGTTGCCAAATCCTGACCATCAAGTTGATAAAACTTCTTAGGTTAAATTTTATACTTACGTGATCTGACTACTTTTCATATTTTGTAATAGGTTGTTATCTGATTATTAACTTTCTAAATCATTTTAGTTAGTTGAACTTCACTTTTAGGGTGTCTTTATCCTTAACTTTGTGTGGCAGAGTTTATTTCTTATCTTTGTTGAAAAACCCAAATATTTGAAAATATCAACGTGTATAGTACAGAAACTAAATAAATTTAATACTTTCATTATAAAAAGTAATTGTAAAAATGTTTTGTTTTTGTGTGTGTGCAAGCTCGTATTTTAGAACAAAAAGTAAACCGGACTTAAGGAACTAATATGTGTAAGACAGTAATTCTGCATACATCTAGTTAGTTTTGCTTGTAGCGTGTTACATGATGACAACATTTTGGATTATTCTCAAATTAAGGTGTTTAAGAGTCGAGTGTTCACTGCTTTTAAAAACGTCTTCCAATATTTCACGTTGGATTTATAGTCACAGTTTTTATCTTCGAAGAAAAGAGAAACTTCAATGGTTTATTCGACATTTATGAACCCAGTCAACATTTATAAATACATTTGCCTCAACTTGTAGCTTGAAAAGTTTTACAAAGTAACATGTACCTTATCTTCTAGCCAAGAAACTTCTGTAAATTAATATTTGCTTCATCTTCTTCTAGTCCGTACACTTCTACAAGAGCAAATATTTTCATCTTCTTCTAGTCCGTACACTTCTACAAGAGCAAATATTTTCATCTTCTTCTAGTCCGTACACTTTCTACAAGAGCAAATATTTTCATCTCCTTCTAGTCCGTACACTTCTACAAGAGCAAATATTTTCATCTTCTTCTAGTCCGTACACTTCTACAAGAGCAAATATTTTCATCTTCTTCTAGTCCGTACACTTCTACAAGAGCAAATATTTCCATCTTCTTCTAGTCCGTACACTTCTACAAGACTTGTAGAAGTGTACGGACTAGAAGAAGATGAAAATATTTGCAGCAAATATTTTCAACTCCTTTTAGTCCGAACACTTTTGTTAAATAATATTTACCTAACTTTCTAGCCGTACACTTCTACAAATTGATACTTACCTCACTTTTTAACCTGGACACCTCTACAAAGTAATATTAGCCTCATCTTTCAACCTGTACAGTTCTACAAATTAATATTTACCTCACTTTTCAATCTGGACACCTCTACAAAGTAATATTAACCTTACTTTTTAACCTGTACACTCCTACTAATTTATATTTGGCTCACCTTTTAGCTTAAGCACTTTCATAAAGTAACATTTTCCTCATGTTATAACTCAAACCACAATATGTGACTAATATACCATACATTCTATGTTCAGTTTCATATGATTTGGGCAAACGTAAATGATTATTGAGGTATATGAATAGTATTTTGTTAATCAGTAAAATATCCGTCAGTCTGTGTATGGTGTTGTATTTCAACAGTAGAATAAGTTTAAACAAGGGTTTAATTTTTCTATCTACTGCGAAACCAAAAGTTCGTTTATTAAGCATGAAGTTGATCCGTTTCTTTTGTTTTAGCGCAAAGCAACACGAAGGAATAATCATACCCGTTGCGAAATTCAGAATTCTAGCGTTTCAAGCCCTTAATTTTTCTTCTGAGTCACCAGAAGACATGAAATTGAATTCGTGATACTGATAATTAAACTCAAATGTTACCATTAGGTTTAATATCAAAATTTTCTTTTGCTAATTATAATATTCTTACATTCAGAATCGTGATTTAATACCCAAAGGATCGAATCTGTGATGGGGAAAAAACAATATAAGCTAAATGGTAAATAGATAAGGTTAGAATAACATTTTTATTTGTTCACGCGCTCGCAATTGATTTACTTAATATATTAACAAATTAGTTTAATCTACATGATTATGTAAAATCTCAAAGGCTCTTTATCCTCCATTTCCCCTAAAATGTCTTAGATTCTCCTTAGTCTCTAGCTAATCTATGAAAATGTATTACACTTTTCATGTGCTCACAATTTTACTTTTATGTGGAATAAAAGCATGTAGCCGTTAGCCCTATATTTGTTACTTAGATCACCAACTAATTAGTTTTACTTGAGTTTTTGGTGCCTCTGTCCTGCGTTCGTTAAGCTATTCAGCATAAGAACTTCCCATTGAAAAAAGTTCACGGTTGATAAGGTTAAACCCTTCAAAGGGAATGTTAAATATTTTCTATATAATGTGGCTCTCTTCCAAAACTTTTTGCATATAATATACCAACTAAATATCATGACAAACTTGACGGTCTTATCCAAGCTCCATTCAGTTAAATATAATAATTCAACTTATTGATAATAACAGCTCACCATATCGGATCGTAGAGAAATCACTGGGCAATAAATTTAGTTTCCTGTCTTCAGACGACAGCTTTGCAAGAATTCACCAAACCATGCATTTTAGTCCTTTAGCTATATTACAGGTTTAACTGTAGAAAGAGGAAGTGTATGACAGTCAATACAAAATTACTGACTATTTTATGCCCTTTGTATCTGCGAGAAATGTTGTAAAACATGAAAAGAAATATCAGTAATCAGGTCTTATAGATTTTAATAGGATTTTTCAGCTTCCGCCCTGACTATTGGGTATAATAACATGTTCTGACACACACACGCACACTAGAATGTGTGTTTAAATCGTAAACAGATAATGTAAACATCTTATCCTGTGATTGCCACGGGTTTGAAGAAAGCTGGTCATTTAGGAATTTGAACTCAGTACACCACTTACGGCACTAGCCCTAGAAACGATAAGTATTATAACTGGTCGATATTTCAAAACGGATAAAAAAAAATAACTGCCAAGAGATCAAATATCGAATTCTCTGTATTTCTAGCACTCGAAATTTGAATAGAAATATTATATGAGATGTTGCGCTATCCAAACACACACACATACAATACAGAATTTAAATATGCCTTGATCCAATTTCACCCAGCTGAAACAGACTGAATTCATTGATCTATGAATTTTTGTTTCCGGTTCTATTAACATGGGATTCTTATGGCTTCTTTCTCTTATTTTATTCAGTCGAAAACTATCAATAATACTACCTTAGTTGAAATGGTTGTTTGGATCAGTTTTTTAATAATTACACGCTAACTGTATATTACAATACACAAGTTACGATCTATGATAGATGTAGTAATATTCCTCAACACATCCTAATTTATCATTGAAACAACAAATATTAACTTCACAATCTGATATCCATTAATTTTGATTTCTTATAATAAATTAAATATTCCCTCGCTAGTAGTTGTGTTTCTTATGGCCTAGAAAAGTATTTACTTATTTTAGCAATATTATATTTTCTATGAAATACAAGGCTAAAGAAATTTTGTAATAGATCGAAAAATAAAACTACCTGAGGTTAAATTTTCTTATAGAATATTCTGTTATCTTACAAATACTTCTCGCACTATTAGAATATCAACTTTTACAAAAAACTTAACATTGATGAAAATGTTTACATTTTTGAAATATCATTTGTAAACCTCCCTTTTCAGATCATCTGTTTTTAAACCATTGACAGTTTTTGTTGGTTTGTTTTATATCTAATGTTTCATTATTTTCCGATTCAAATTAGGCTACAACACTTTCACCTAAAAGAGATAAATTTTGTTTTCCACAACAAAGATTTCTTCCTTAAACGGAATCTTGGGACACGTTAGCAATTTAATGTTCTTCAACTTAATGCCAAGTATAAAATGATGTTGCATGGGAATGTAGACATGTTTACAATAATAGACAAATTTCTTTTTTAGCTCATATTCTATATTTGACGAATCTTAACACTTTAGTTTCTTAATCAATTACAGACTAATACGGACTCCTTTAGCTTAACAAAATATGTATTATAAGTGAAAAGTAACTTCTCGGTGAAATAAATTTGGAAAACTGTTTTCATAATTGGTATAATTAGCGTAACTATACTCAGTAAACCATAAAAATACGCAAAAATTGCATCTGTTTACAGAAATTAATAATAATTTGCAAACTGTTGCTTTACTTAAATCCTTCTCAGTCAATTTTATTATTTTGAATGACATTGTTACGAAACGCAAGCTGAATAATTCTAACAGCTAGGCTTCGCCTACGCATACAAACACACAATGCATTATGAACTGTCATTAGTTTAATTACAAACAAATTTCAACACAACATATCAAATTATAATAGGCATGAAATACGGTTAGAAGATGTGATTTAAATAATTATGAAAAAGATAACGATTTCCTAACACAATTATTATTAACGGCTATGAACATCTTAAGAAATATTTGCAATAAAAATAAGGATTTTAATTTGGTTCTATTTCCATGTTAAGAAGTGTTAATATATGGTATCAGTTGTTTTATTTTCGTAAAAAAGGAAGAAACACTTTAATCCCTGAAAGGAACTAACAACCGTAACCTAAACCTAACTCCTTCCGTTAGAAAGGGTCAATAAGCTACTTTTAACACTATCTAATAGGGAGCAAAAAACATTTCTATTTTTTCTCCGGACGCACCCTCCCCTTTAAAGATCAGCCATGAAATAAAAACTGACCTTCTTTTTATCTTTACTCAAAGACTTAACTTTTTTCAATGCGCTTAGAGTGTCTGAGTAATGGAACAGAACATCTTGGTGTGACGAACACAACGGAAATGATGGGAAATCGGATGCAATAAGCAATGGATAGCGATTTATCCACACAACACGTACACATTAGATTACCACTAACTCATTTTTTTACTTTTTGATAAACCTGCGCAATGTAAAAATTGATACGACAAAAAAATCAAAAATATGAAATCTTCATGGACACAGAAGTAGAAAATAAAGCTTGTCCTTGATTTGATAATATATAATATTTATGATAATATCTCCTTGATTTTGTATTAGAATTTATAAAATATAAACTGATAATTGGTCCTCTTTATATTTCCACTGTGTCAATTTCTGCTGTAATTTGAATTCCAGTAAACAAATAGTTTGAAAACAGGGTCATTCTATTTTAGCGTTATTAGTTACATAATACACATAATTAAATTAATATTCTTTAACATTTGACCTTTTCTTACTCCTCCACGCTTTTGAAACGGAAATGACTATATAAATATAGCTGTTTAACAACGTACATATTGAAATTTCAATATAAAATATAAAATCAAGAATAATACAAGGAAATAAAA